CTTCCTTCCTTCCTTCCTTCCTTCCTTCCTTCCTTCCTTCCTTCCTTCCTTCCTTCCTTCCTTCCTTTGTTCCTATAGAACTCTAAGATAACTCTGAGGCCTCTCAGTCTTAGTGCTTTCCACCCTCTCCTGGGAATCAGGACTCTAACAATTACCCACACACATACTGAAATGTTGGAAACTCTCCATCTCCCTGAGTCTTTGTGAATGTTCTCCATATAGAACTTAGTTATTAAAAATGGGGCAAGATAACCCTTAAGATGTTGACTCAGTTCCTGATGTTTTTACTCAGTCCCTGGAAAGGGGTCAAAGTAACCCTCAAATGTTTCCTCTTACCTCACCTGATCTGACAACTGCCTGCCAGTCCTGGCTCGGACCAATTATTGTTAATAGCCCTTTGAATAAGTCAATCCCAATAGTTGGAAAACAATTCTCAGACTCTCCCCTTGTTTCTGTGGCTTTTTTGCTTTAAAACTAGCCTGTACCAGCTATTCGGGGTCTTTCTGGCTTCTTGAATGCTGAGAGACCCTGTCGTGACAGAATTAATTAAATCCTCATGCTTTTACATCACCTGAGGTATAAGAGTGTTTTCTTTGGGCGACTCCTCCTTGGTAATTGGACTCCAGGATCTAACAGTTCCTACATTTTTTGGGTTTTTTTTGATTTAGCATTTTGACTTGAGGTAGAACTTTTGAATCTCTTTGTGTGGTGATATTTTGATTATGCTGTAACAAATAACGTTTGCTTGAAAATCAGAGTGCAGAGATAAGCCACCAGTTAGTCATTGAGGCCAGGCAATGGTTGCACACGCGTTTAATCTAGCACTTGGGAGACAGAGGCAGATGGATCTTTGTGAGTTCAAGTCCACCTTGGACTACATGAGATTGAATCTGTCAAAAGAAAAACAGAGTTCACACAAAGATGATCCCAGCACTAGGGAGGTGGAGACAGGAGTGATATGGCTGAGAAGAGGGTAGAAAATAAGGCTGGAGGAGAGAGACGTTCAGGCAGTGTGAAGATTCCTAGAGGCAGATGCAGACTGAGATGCACTCAGAGGATTCGTAGAGACAGGATCGCCCTTTAGTCTGAGCGTTGATAGTGGTAAGAGCACCAGTGGCAACTGTTCTGCTTTTTTGATCCCTTATCTTTCAGCCCCTAATATCTCACTCTGGACTTTTATTACAAAGACCAATTAGAATTTGTGCTGCATCTTTGTACTGGCATGTATTTATAATCTAAGTGATAGGAAGCCTAAAGAAACAAGATTTTGGGTTGAAAACCAATTAGGTCATTAAATATGACCCTGTCACAAAAAAAAAACCAAAACCAAACAAACAAAAAACAAGGACCAAATATGAAAGGAACAGCAACAAAAAACAATCAAGCAAATGGACACATTGTATGTTTCATTTTAATTTTCCTATGAAATGCAGGGATTCTATAATCAAACTGACTTGTAGTTTACTACAAACCCTAACTCACTATGATGACAAACTCAATGTACCATTTCACACTATTTTCCTTTATGTTTTGCCACCAGTAATGTGAAAAATAGTAACTCTGTCATTAAATAAAATCTATTGCTGGAAACTTTCAGTACTGCAGACTGTATAAAAGTTCTTGACCCAGGTGCTGGTGGCACACACCTTTAATTTCAGCACTCAGGAGGCAGACACAGGTGAATCTCTGTGAGTGAATTACAGGACAGGCTCCAAAGCAGCAGAGATACTCTGTCTAGAAAAACAAATACCAAAAAACAAAAACAATAGAAGTTCTCAAATTACTATAAAATCTCAATAAGTATTATTTGATTACAGAACTGAATGGATTAAAGGAAGAAAAAAACCACTAAAGATCAAAACATAATTTCCACAAAGATGTGAAACTGAGCCAATTCTTTTATCATTATAATTATGTGTGATATATTGTGATATGTTTAAATATTACTCAATTGGTGTTTTCCTAGATTTAAAAAAGGAGAATATGTCATATGAGATTATAACCTGGAATCTACCTGAAGATCAAGAAAAGGAATTTGATAATAGATTTTCTCTACTTGTGGAAGAATTATTTATTAACAGGTAATTTATTTCATTTCTTGGAACCAAAGTATTACTAATCCAGCCTTGCACATGGGTAGATGATAGTTGCAAGATGCTTTGAGTGAGTCTAAGAGAAAAGATGGGTGGGTGAATTAATTGATGTAGGGATGGATTGTCTTTGAGTGGTGCATGGTAGATAACTGACAGCTAGATCAATGATGGGATATTCTCTAGGAAGCAGAAGATGTGACTTTTAGACCTTCTTTTCTGCATGTTACTTGTCATCAGCTCATGGCCTCTCAATGAAGCCAGTACAGTTACTGCAACCTCTCTATTCAGGGACAGAGAAGCCACCTTCTTCCATGAACTTTGTCACCTTCCTACATACAGTCCCTAATGGAGGAAACCCCATTGCATGTACATCTGTCATCTGTCATGCGTTGGTTCTTTCCTATTAAGCTTGTTTAAAAACTTTCCTTTCCCTTCCTTTTACTGAAAACAAATTTTTCTTTCCTAATATATCCTGATTACTGTTTGCCTTCCTTTTACTCCCCCCTCTCCTCCCACCCAGATCTACTCTCTTTCTATCATTCATTAGAAAAGAAATAGGCTTCTAAGGGATAACAATGACAAAATATAAAAATATAATAACATAAAATGAAAATATCACATCACAGTTGGATTAGAAAAAATAGGAAAAGAGCCCAAGAGAAGGCGAAAGAATCTGAGACCCACTCTTTTGTACACTCAGAAATCCCATAAAAACATTAAACTGGAAGCATATATATGTGTGTGTATGCGTGTGTGTGCTGCGTCAGTGTGTGCTGTGAGTTCATATGAGCTTTGTTCATGTTGATTCATAGCGCCTTGTATTCTTGGTGTTGTCCATTCCTTTGACTCTTTCATTCTTTCTGTCTGTTCCTCCTCTCGGTTCTTCTCTGGTGGTGAATGGGCAAGTTACTGATATACTAGCTTAACAAAATATCTTTAGAAGTCATTTTATTGATGCATTTTGTTTTGCTTTGCTTTTTAGGGCAGTAGTATTTATTTTTTCCCCTAGATCCTTGAGTTATCTAATCTCAGGCTCTTGATTACCCAGTGTTGCGTATGAGTTTCATATCATAGAGTGGACCTAACTGGTTTGTTGTGTTATTTTTTGGCTACTCCTACAAGTTTGTGTCTCCATGGCCCTAGCATAACTTTCTGGGAGGACAGCATTGTAGACAGTGGGCTTGTGGCTGACTTGGTGTTTACATTTTTCTTTTGGTAGCATACAGTGTGTAATTATACAAAAGACGCTAGATCCTAGGCTCTTTAAAGACAGCAGCTCAATTTCTCCATGATCAATGATCTGTTTAGGTGTTGTCTTCAGCAATAGAATCTTCCTGTAAGTCTATGAAGATAAATCTAAAGTTTTGGTAACTACCTGGGTTGTTTGGGGCATTCCTGTGGGACCAATTTTTCCAATAACTCAAATATATTTGACCCAAATATGGTACTGGAAGCTCATTGGTGCCACAGATGAACAGTTAGGCCTCTGCCTCCCCATTATTTGTAAATTTTACTTAGAACACCCTCATATATGTATATAATTTAGGAGGTGTCCATTATGTTGTTTCCATACTATCCCTCAATTTTCCCTTAATTTTAAATCTGTCTCCCTGTACTCCATCCCTCATCACTCTCTCCCCTCCTCACTTCATCCTCTCCTTTCAGACTGCCACTTCCACCCTTAACTACTCATATTTTCCATTCTTAATAAGATCTCCCTGTGCCCACATTTACCTTACTCTACACCTGAACTTGGCCGTTCTATGGATTGTATGTTGCTTATCACTGACATAACAGCTAACCGACACAGGTAACCTCACAATTTTTCAATGTCCAGGTGATACACATGAACATCAGGCTTTTAGCCCTTGACTTTAATGCTCAGATCCTCCTTTGTCTTCTACACAGATGACAAATTCACATGTGTCCCTTAGTTAATTCCATTGGTCTCACTCTCTGTCCTTGAAAATTCTACTTAACAGTCAAGGTGGTGCGAATAGCACCAAGATTCTTTATGGAAGACTTTCTCACTCACAGAAACTTAAAGACCATATATCTTTTGTCATATGTTTGAAAGAAGTCAAATTGCATCTTAGTCTAACATGGTGATTATTTATACACATTTAAAACATGTATATTGTGTCTCCTTCTAAGTTTGTACTTTTGAAGAGAAATTCAAATTACAGGTAGAATATAGTCAAGTTGCTGAGAACGGCATCTTCTTGAGAATTTTCACAATTGATTTACCTCAAAGGGATCACCATTCTGTTTTCAAGAAAACAAACCTTCACATACTATAGTTACTTAGCAATTATTACACACACACACACACACACACACACACACATTGTAGAGAATTATGCATTGTGTGGATCTACTTTCTATTATTATAACAGAATAACTGTATTTGGGTCAATGTATAAGGAAAAGAAGCATATTTAAGTCATAATTGTGGAAGTTAAAGCTCATGGTATCAATGGTAGTCAGCTTGATTCAAGACACCATGAGAGATGTCGTTATAATTGCTAAAGTATGTGTGATTGGAAGAGCCAAGAGAAGGGAAAGAAGAGGTTTACATCCCCCACAGAAGTTAACTCAAACTCCAATGCTGATCTTCTCAAACATCTAAATGAAAAGGGTTTCTAATAATCTCATATGAAGGTCTTCCTTAAAGATACCACCACCTTCGTACAGTCACATTGAACAACATCTCTCTGACAAAGGAACCCTTGAAGGCAAACCACAGTTGTGACTTGAAGTTGTGTCAAGAATGAGCAAAGATAGGAGTGTGTCACTGGGCTCTCATCTTGTGGATCTTTTGATGTATGATTGGAGCAAGAATTCTAATTGGTCTTAATAAATAAATCCCTGAGTCAGATATTAGGGGGAGAATCCTGAGGGTTCAGAAAACATGCAGCCAGACACTAGAGTTCTTTTACCACTACCAATGCTCAGACCGAAGGGGGCGACCCTGCTGTCAGATTGCATCTCCAGACTCCATCTGTCTCCACCAAACCTCAGACTGCTTCCAGCTTGTGTCCTCCTGCCTTATATTCCTCTCTTCCCAGTCATATCAATCCTGACTCCACCTTCCTAGTGCTGAGATTAAAGATGTGTGACTCCCAAATACCAGGACTAAAGGTGTTTACCACCACTGCCTGGCCTCTAGTGGCTTAGTTCTGCACTCTGACCTTCAGGCAAGCTTCAATTTTAAAACACAAAGAAAATACCACTACATAAAATGACATCACACGCTGGTGCATCTTATCAAGTTGCTTATTTGGTAAACATTGATGTGAAAGAGTCATCAATAGGATGACTAATGTTTAGCACAATCTCCAGTGGAAGTTGGAGTCAGTAAGAGCAATGTATTCTGATAATAATCTTCCAATTATACTTTTGTTTTCCATTAGAACTTTAAATGAGTATATAAAAATAGGTTTTGTTATGGATTTTAAAGTATACATGTCACTATCCTTTGTTCTAATGCCCCCTTTCTTCAACACACTCTTCCATGACTCCTAATCTCTGCTGAAGCCTTTTATTTTTAAGTGCTTTCATGCCCGCTTTTCTCATTTCATCACCAAAAAATGAAAATGCACACACACACACACACACACACACACATACACACACACAACACATCACAAATACACACATGGTTAAGTTTAAGTATCACATAAAATAGAAAAAGATTTTAGAGTATAGGCTTATATTTGCCTAGTTGTGGAACACTTTCATTGAGTAATGACAGATGCTAAAAGGAAATTTCACACTAACTAAGAATAGAGTATAATGAAAGGTCATCTATTTAGGGTAGACTCACAGATCACAGTCTCTGCTTTAAAGGGGCACATCAACTGATCCTGCAGCTGGAAGAGAAGGGGAAGGTGGGCTTTACATAATGGGCAGGTAATTTAAAGGCTACTGGCTGTAGGAATTCCTACAGCAATTGAGTTTAACATTTTTTATAAAGTGTATGTTATATCTCCCCAAAATATTTTCTATTACTTTTTGCAGGTTCAATCATCACACTCTTATAAAGATATATAAATGCTTTGCAGATGTATGCAGTATCATATTAAGCAGAAAGGACATCATGGACTACTTAAAGAATAAGAATTTTGACCTAGTATTTTTTGATGCAGCAGAACCTTGTTTTTTCTTGATTGCTGAGAAACTTGAAAAACCATTTGTGGCCTTTCTTCCCACGCAATTTAGTTTTATGGACTTTGGACTCCCTAGCCCATTATCTTATGTTCCAGTGTATGGTTCAAGACTAACTGACCAAATGGACTTCTGGGACCGAGTGAAGAACTTCCTGATGTTCTTTGATTTCTCTCTCAAGCAAAGACAAATATTTTCTCAATATGATGCCACCATCCAGGAACATTTTGCAGAAGGCTCTCGGCCAGTTTTGTCTGACCTTCTACTGAAAGCAGAGCTGTGGTTTGTCAACTCTGACTTTGCCTTTGAGTTTGCTCGTCCCCTGCTTCCCAACACAGTCTATGTGGCAGGCTTAATGGACAAACCTGCCAGGCCACTACCTCAAGTGAGTAAAACCTCAGCCCTCAGTTTATCTTTGATTCAATGGCTGGCAGTGCTTAGGTGGTGTCTTAGTTAGGATTTCTATGGCTGTGAGGAAATACCATGACCATAACAACTTTATAAAAAAATATTTAATCTGGGTCTCTTATGGATTCAGAGGTTTAGTCCATTATCATCATGGCAGGAAACATTGTGCTCTTCAGGCAGGTGCTGAAGGAGCTGAGATTCCTACATCTTGATCAGTGGGCAACAGGAAGTCAAGTGGAACACTGGTTATAGCTTTAGCTTAGAAGTTTCCAAAGTCCACTCTACAGTGTCACACTTCCTCTGAGTAGGCAGCACTCAGTCCAACAGGGCCATACCTCCTAATAGTGCCATAGGTGGAAACTGTTATTGGTAGGCATGTCCTGAAAGGAAGTACTGAAAGCAAGGTAGGCACTCTGAGTGTCCATTTTAGGGTTGTGAAGGATGGTGTTAGAATATCCCATGCTATGGTTGAAGACTTGTCTATGTGTTAAAAAGTTTGAGTTTCTTTTATCTCTCTGTATTCCCGTCTTTGGTGCAATAAGTCCTTTAGTTAGTATTGGTATTTCCTATTGAATTTAGAGCTATACATGTTAAAAATGCAGTGTATATCCATACATACAGTGTTTGTTAAGGAGACAGGCTCTTCATAATGAAACAGATAACACTTTCACAAGGTATGTACCTAGACAGAACTTAGCAGTATTGGGAAGAAGAACTGATTCTGCTATTTAGTTTCCTAGCCTACTGACCCCATTATACTCCATCCAGCTACTGGGAACCATCAAAGCTGCATATAATCTGCATGTTCAGTGCAGACTCTACACTGCACTGTAGAGTCTGTCACTACAGCTGAAAATTTAAAAGTACAGAAAGCTAAGGATGTTTGATTGTTTGTTACCTGTCACTGTGGGGTCCCCTGTCCTATTCTGGGAATAATGACCTCCTTTGATTTTAAGCAGTGGGGGCAAAAAAGCTGAGGTGATGAAAGTAATGTTTTTCCTACTTTCAGCTCAAAGAAGAGAGGGTATGGACTTTTTCTGGTTCCCAAGGGTACCAGAGTGCCTATCCTGTCTTGCAGTGGGTGAGAAGGAGTGTTTAGGGAGTGATCAATAAGGAATATATTTATATTATTTCTAGAAGGAGAAGGAGATTTCTTATTGGGGTTTGGAAAAAATCTCCAGAAATCCCAAGTTTGTGGGATGTAGATGTGACTGACGGAGACCTCACCTTCTAGACAGATGGCTCAGATACTGGCACAGAGAGATGATGGAATTGATAAGGAGAAGAGTGGGAACAAACATTTTGAAGTAATACCTGACAAAAGAGTCTGGAACCTACTCTGAGGGATGTTCAACCACATGTTTCCTAAAGAATCATGGGGAAGCAAAATAAACTATGGTGATTTTCAATATAAGGGAAAGAAGACTCTATATCATAACATTCACAGAGTATCCAAAGCTATATATAGGTATTTGAAACTTTGTTCAGCAAACTTAAACACTAACAAATATTGGTTCAAATTTGTGAGAGACAGTTTTTACAATGAAATATGTCATATATGCACAAATATGATATAAAAATAAGAACAAAATCTTTGGAAGTTAAATAAGAAATAGATTTTTACTGAAGACTGCAATTCTACAGTTTTATAATGAGAGGAACATCCATATAAATTATCCCCTTGAATAACACCATAGGTTAAGTAGAACAACTAGGAATACATAGAGAATTTTTGAATTTATTTTTTAGGTCATTTTATGTGCCTGAGAGTTTGCATGCATATAAGTTTATGCACCATGTGCAGGGCATGTCTGGCCACAAAAGAGGGCAGCAGAGAACACTGGATGCCCTGGAGTTAGAGTTGCAGGTGGTTGTGACCTAAGTGTAGGAACTGAACTGTGATCCTCTGGAAGGACAGCCAGTTCTCTTAGCTGTTGAACCAACTCCCAAGACCTAAGTGGTCTTTCCAACAAGAGCAGAACATGTGTTCTTTAATGCACAGTACAAATTCCTTGGTCATGCCTTTGATGACACACACAAAAGCAACCTCAGTAATTTTCAAAATCTTAAATTAATGCAAATATCTCTTATCACAGTGGGATGAGATAGAAATCAACAGTATGTAAAAAGAGACAACACAGTATAGTACAACCAGTGAGACTAAGGGAAAAATCTAGAGGAACATTTACAAATGTTATGTATCAAGGAAAATGAGACAAAACACAATGTAAAAATGTAGAATAATAAAAAGAAGACTTAAGATATGATTTATAGCGGTTATTTTCTTCATTAATACACACAAGGTACTTGTAATTGATAACCTACAGTTCCATATAAGGCACAGTAATGAAGAGAGAACTAAACAGGATGTTAGTGGAAAGAAGAGGCTTACAAGACTCACAGTGTAGATGGCTGAAACAATAAACAGAAAAATTAGAATCAATAAAATCAAAAGAGCAGTTTGGTGACAAATCATTGGAGTCATTGAGAAAATAAATAATAGAGAAGAATAGAATAATTATGTTCTAAAGTAAAAAATTATCTGCTATTACATAAAACAATAAAGATCATGAAGAAATGATACAAACATGATATATCATCGATTTAGTTATCCTACATAAATTGACAAATTCCTATGCATGTCTGTGAACACAACAGACTCAAAACAGGGAATCTGAAACTGATGGGATTAAATTAGAGTAAAATAATACAAAAATCTTTCATTAAGCATGTCTGATATAACATGGATTAATTGGTGAGTTAAGCAAAACATGTAAGAATTAATGCCAGTGTTTGTGGCAGTTCCACAGGAAATGAGATTTCTCAACACATTCTATGAATCTATCATTACTCTGTAACCAAAGCTAGAAAACAACACCAGCATAGATGGCATTATATAACACAGAAAGTGAAGAAATTTTGTATACTGTATTTGTAGCATGATTATAAAATAATACAAATAGTGTCCAAACGAGTTGTGAGGAGCCTCAAGTTACTAAACAAATAAAATGCCCTGAACAATCAGTTTATCCTGAACTTATACTTTAAGCAGTAGAAATAGTTTACACAAATAATATCTTGTTTATACACTGGACAGTGGTGGCACACACCTTTAATGCCAGCACTCGGGAGGCAGAGGCAGGCAGATCTCTGTGATTATGAGGCCAGCCTGGTCTACAAGAGCTAGTTGTGGGATAGGCCCCAAAACTACAGAGAAACCTGTCTAGAAAAACAAAAAAAAATCTTGTTTATATATTTGCTTGGAAGAGCAATTCATAACAGTCCAATGGTGAAGAGATGCCTGCTAATCAATGCAGTTAGTACTTAGAACACAGCTGTACAGGTTCCATGAGAGGAACTTTGTCAAACAAAACACAAGCAACTAAAGCATGGGCTTATTCAACACCTGACCTGGTTTCATGTTATAGATGTGTTGGCTTTCACAAACCACTTCTTTTGACTTCTTTCTTTTATGTTTTATCTAGGACTTGGAGGATTTTATCACTACGTTTGGAGACTCAGGTTTTGTCCTTGTGTCCCTGGGCTCCGTAGCATCCTTGTATCAGACCAAGGAACTTATTAAGGAGATGAACAGTGCCTTTGCTCGCCTCCCTCAAGGGGTGCTGTGGACAGTTAAGGATGATCAATGGCCCAAAGACGTCACAATGGCCCCAAATGTCAAAATCATGGATTGGCTTCCCCAGGTTGACCTTCTGGGTAAGCACCTCCTAGACCTGTTACTTTATTTCCATTTACGTGCATTTGGGACTTAATAGATAACTGATGTCTGAGTACTTGGGCATGTAGAAGAAATGTCTGCTGATATGTAAAGATAGATCTCTAGCAACTGGAGTTCTTGGGGGAATCAGGCTGTGCTCTAGACTGGATAGCAGCTATTTCCTTATCCTTCCCTACTCAGACAGGTCACAAGTCCCTAAACAGATAGGTAGCCTTGAATTATCAGTATTCAAGATTGATCCCCCAACACAATCTTGAAAACCGTGTGAACTATAGCTGCTCCTCGGGGCGGATGCCACTATTTGTTCCCACTATTCTCACAATGATGTGGGAACTGCTTCACATTTTTGGAGACACACATATGAATGTCAGCATGCAGATACATCTTGGTTGTCTGGAGAGGGCTGAAATCTCAGACACCTACAACATTAATGTTGGGGTTGTGAGGATGTGGAAGCTGTTTGAGAGCCAACCAGCGTAACCTCACAGTAAGATAAGGAGACACTGATTTCTTGAGCAAAGGGAAATTCCCTTAGCCACCTCCCCTAAAATCATTTGTTTCTTGGTGACATCTGTAGACCCATCACTTCCACACTCAATGACTCAGTCAGAGTTTTATAAATAAGGTTGTCACTCAAAATAAGATGGGAAATTTTGCACATAGATCTCTGTTCAGGGACATCACAGGTGATACAACAGGGAAAACATTTGTTTTCTAGGGAACATGGGTAGATTTTGTGTGAGGTATTGTTCTTTATGACCGTAAGAAATGTTCAGTTGCTTAATATGGAACTACAGACAAGATCTGTAAATAAGGAATCTTTTGCTCTACCATCCTCTTTAGTAAACTTCTATTAAAATAGAGGAGAAAATATACAGAATACAAGCTTCATAAGACCAGATGTGAATAGCCAGAGAAGGTTGAGGTTAGAAAAATAAAGAAGACGTATCCATGGAGAAGGTGAGGATGAACAGAAGGACAGAGAAACATGCCAGGATTGCCACTCTCCACATATTCTTCCTTGTCTAGGTCCCTTGATAGTTTTAGATTGAAGTAAGGCATCTCTCTACCTAGGGAAGACTAGATTTTATATCCTAAAGCACTGAAAATCTCAAAGGAAAGAAAATAAGTAAAACAATTCTCAACAACACACTGGTATCTCTTGGGTTTGCTGCTTTACCTGGTATCTGAAATTTTCACAGTGAAATATTGGACCATTTTTCTATTTTGCAACAGCTCATCCTAATATTCGTCTTTTTGTCACCCACGGTGGAATGAATAGCATCATGGAGGCCATCCAGCATGGAGTACCCATGGTGGGGATTCCCTTCTTTGCAGACCAGCCTGAAAACATGGTCCTTATAGAAGCCAAGAAAATTGGTGTTTCTGTTCATGTAGACACTCTCAAGGCAGAGACATTTGCACTTACACTGAAAGAAGTCATAGAAGACAAGAGGTATGCAGCTCTCTGGGGTTGGGGTTGCTTACATTGAATGCAGGCCTGACATTAAAGGATCTGTGTAGTCTGTTTATCGATAAAACTAGAATTTTGTAGAATGTGGTAAAATACATGTGTGATACTTGAAGTCCTAGTTTCCCTTACTATTTATCCTAATTTTAGTTGAGGTGCTGAGAATACACTTCTACTTGGTGTGATGTGATGATTTTTTTCCACACACATTATCTTTATGACCTCTTGTATTTGGTTACCTGTAAACTGAATTCCAGTTGAGGCAGGAGAGAACCTTTGTGTGTTTTTAATATGGCTGATCTTTGGCTCAGCATATACATATACAATTATAGGTTGTTGGCAGTTGGGTTGTTTCTTTCCCAGCTGCTCAGACCTGAACTAATCACACAAAACTATATTCTTTAAATAATGGCTTGGCTATTAGCTTATGCATATTTCTTGCTAACTCTTATTATCTTAAATCAACCCATCTCTATTAATCTGTGTATCACTACGAGTTCGTGGCTTCTCAGTAAACTTCTGTCCGGCATACTGCATCTGTCTCTTGTTTTGGCTACATGACTTCTCTCTGACTCTGCCTACTCTCTCCTCTCTCTGTTTGGAATTCCCACCTTGCCCTATCCTGTGCTGCAATAGGCCCAAAGTAGTTTTCTTCATTAACCAATAGTATTCACAGCATACACTGGGGAATCCCACATCTCAAGGTTATGTATAAGATAAAGCATTTAATTGAGCCTTGCTTACAGTTCAGGGGGTGAGCCCATGGCCATCATGCTGGCAAGTGTGGCTGCAGGCATGGCACAGAGGCAGTAGCTGAGAGCTTTCATCTTGGTCTGCAGGCTGGAGGCAGGAGAACAAGACTGGGTCTGATGTGGGCCTTTTTAAAGACCTCCAGCGACAAACCTCCTCCAGCAAAAATCACAATTCTTAATCCTTCCTAAACAGTCCACCAACTGGAGCAAACATTCAGATATACATGGTTATGGGAGCCACTGTTCTCTCAAACCATGACAAGGACCTTTGCATGTCCTTACTGCGGGATCTCCCCTCCTCAGGGTCTTTGTGTGGAAATCACAGGACTGTCTCTCCAATGTTGTCCTCCTAGGAGACCATGTGCTTGGCTGTTATTTTTCTGTACTTGTGCTCAGTTATTATACAGTACTTTCTCTTTGACCCTTTAATAGATTGTAATGTCTCAGTCATGTGTGTCATTACTGTCTGCCCCACACTAGCACATAGAAAATTTGCATGACAAGGAAGCATTGAGTATCTGTTTCCACTCTACTTCTAGAGCCAAGGTCAGGCCTGTTCTAAAAGAAAACTTCACAAACATAAAATAAAGTAGACAGGAACAGAGACAAGAGCAGTTGAACCACATATCACTTGCCCATCTACACAATACCTTCACAAAAACCACTACATACTCTTGTTTCAATGTCCTACTCATATAATCAAATATATATCCTGTTCATATATTCAAATATATTTAATGTGAATACTACTTCAGTATCATAGCTGTAATCCTTACAAACATAGTTATTTTTCAAAAATTTCTTTCAAAGTTTAATTTTGATCCTTCTAAGGTTTTATCTTTTAGCTTCTTGTTGTGCTTTTAGTGGGGGCTCAGGTAGACAGTGTTAAGTGTATGCCAACAATTTTGTTTGAAGCCGGCTATAAACTAGAAAAAAATGTGTGTGTGTGTGTGTGTGTGTGTGTGTGTGTTTATGTTATAAGGTCTGAAGAATTGGCACAGCACATTGGTAACACATTCTCTCTGTGTCTGCCCATAGGTACAAGTCTGCAGCAATGACTTCCAGGGCCATCAGGCGCTCCCACCCCCTCACACCGTCCCAGCGTCTGGTAGGCTGGATTGACCACATCCTACAATCAGGGGGAGGAGCACATCTAAAGCCCCATGGCTTTCAGCAGCCATGGCATGTGCAGCACCTGCTGGATGTCCTGCTGTTCCTGCTGGGGCTCACTCTCGCCACCTTGTGGCTGTTGAAGAAAGTGCTGGGCTTGTTGCTCAGGACCCTGTGTGTGGCTAGGAAGGAAAAGAAGGCATAATGTTAAGTTTGACCTGGGGAGGACATTGGGAGCTCTGTCTCTTTAAAGGCTTCCCCCTCCCCTAGCACAAGGAACTCTAGGGTTTTCCTCTTTCCCTCTTCCTGCTGGAGGACCTCTAGTTGTCCTCAGTATTTTCTGTCTTTTTCATGATCCTCATACAGTACATTGACTGACTGGTGACTCCTCATTACCTGGATCCACTTGCTCTAGTACCAACCTTTTTTCACCGGCCATTTCTCCTCTTCAGTCCTTTCTGCCATTCACAGTGCTGTAAGAGTTTCATCTTCTCTGTGACTTCTAGTCTCTGACTCTTATTTCTGCAATTATTTGTCTATATTAGACAAATTCTACTTACTCCTTTTTTTTGTAACATATAATCTTTCTGTAGCGTTCAGGTGCCTAGAGTGTTCTGTTCTACTGCTTCTGTCACCCTGTTAGGCAGGATCAGCCACTCCCAGGATGTAATAAAAACCAGTTTGGCTGTAAATGACAACATACAAATGTCATAAATACATTTTCCTGGATAATGAATAAAATAAAAAATGAAGATAACAGAAAATTGAAGGGTTGGGAGAAAGCATTTTTTGATATGACTTACGGTATGAAAGATTTAATTCCTCATGTGTGAGGAAGGAAAAGAAACTACAGTCTGTCCAATTATTGGAGTAGCAGTTATATGTCAAATAGAATAAACCTGAGATTTATAAATTGATACAGAATGAACTTCAGTGTTGTTGAGTACGAAGATACAAAGTAAAGCAATAAATATAAAATGATTTTATTCTCAAAACACATATACATGGGAAAATCATGTGAGGGATCATGTGCAGTGTGTGGATGAAGAGCCCCTGTCACAGTTCACACTGCACACAGGAATTTGCAGATGAGCTAGCATTGCATGTATAAAATATATTAACTCTTAAGTTAAGATTCTACCTTATACCTGTCCATAATGGCCAATTAAAAAATCAGTGATGACAGCTTGTGCTAGAGAGGATTTGGGGGTAAAGGGAAAAGTTCTACATTCCTGGTAGAAGTGTAAATTTGTACAGCCCTTTTGGTAATTAGTATGACTATTTCTCAGAAAATTAGAAACAATCTACTTCAAGACCCAGCAATACCACTGTGGTGTATATACCCAAAGGATGCTCAATTATACCACAAGGACATGTGCTCAAGTATGTTCACAGTAGCATTATTCATAATAGCCAGAACCTGAAAACAACCTATATGTCTCTCAACCAAAGAATGGATAAAGAAAATGTAGTACATTTACACAATGGAGTACTACTCAGCAGTAAAAACTAATGACATCTTGAAATTAGTAGGTAAATGGATGGATCTAGGAAAAAACCATACTGAGTGAGGAAACCCAGATCCATAGATAAGAATATAATATATACTCATTCATAAGTGACTCTTAGACATAAAATAAAGAAAAACCAGCCTACAGTCCAAAACCTCAGAAAACCTAGACAACAAAGAGTACCCTTAGAGAGATATGCATGAATTTACAAAGGAAGGAAATAAAGGCAAGTTATCCTGATAAATTGGGAGTGTGGGAGTCACAAAAAGGGTAGAAGAACAGAGGGAAGAAAAGGAGGGGAGTGGAGAAAGATGTACAACACAATATAAACAATAAAAGAAAGAAAAAACAAAGAAGTTAAAATATAAAAAATATCTAAAATCTTAAAATTAATTATATAAAGAAATGAATGTATTCATTTACTCTCACCAGCACTGTTATTAGTATGAGAAAAAGAAAAAAGTACCTAATACAATGTCAGTTGAGAAAGTATAACTTTATCAATAAATTATCAGATTACAGAGAAATATAATTATAAAGGAACTTGCAATTTATTATTGGTATTTCATAGTTTTGTGGATTATCATTTGAGAATGCGTTATTTTCACATAGGTTGAGAAAATGTATAAATAAATAATTTGATACATTGAGAGGTTTCACAGATACTTAAAGAAGAATCCAGAGTTGATATTTGAGAAGAATAACAAGGTTACCATATGGGCTTATATTTCAGTTTAAGAGGTGACTCAAAATTCATAATTTTTCTTCTAAAGATAAGAAGAACACAACACAGAGGTACAGATATGAAATTTTTATAATCTCAGCTATCCTGTTATTCCCTAGGTCTTACCAATAAAAATATTAAAAGGAAGCAGCAGTCTTTTGCTAGCCAAAAATATTTTCCTGTCTCTAAATACCATTTTCCATGAAAAGGAACCAAGATTCCTTGGAAATGTGGAATTTGAAGAACTCGTTTCCTCCACAGCAGTCCTGCCCCCAGTCTGCTGTTGTCATTTCACACAAGCCTCACCCGACTTCCAGACCCCACCATTCTCCTGCCCAATCTGCTCTGCTCACATATGACACCAAACTGACAAAAGCAGTCACCATGGTGGGATCGCATCAGAAAGTACCAATATATAAAAGATCAAGGCAGCATCTCAGCCCCAAATCTCTCAGGTCTGTAGATGTGCTTGCTACTGAGAATTACCTGGATGAATCCCAGGATGCATAATTTAAAAGAAAATTATGAAGTTCATCAAAACTCAGGGAATTTAAAGGAAACACAATGAAACAAAACAACAAAAATAAGAAGAAAGAACTTAAGGAGAATAAACATCTGAGTGATGCCCAGTAACAGCCAGGCAGAGATGGAGGAGGGACTAGAGGGACCCCACTTCTCAATGCTGAACTATCAGCTGATGATACATCCTGGAGAGGGGATTGATTGCCTTCTGTGTCCAGTGGTGACTCCATCAGTCCCCAATATCCAATCCAGTGGTTACACAGATAACCCTCATTAAACTGAATTAGTCATAAAACGAGAGTCAAAGCCATGAACCTGGGAAAATGACTGATGTGAGGAGGGAATTGGAGGAAGATAAGGGGATGTTAGAGTAATCAGACTGCCTTCAGTAGATGTAGGAAGTTGTTAAAGAGCTAATTTAATTGATTAAAAAAACTGTTTAGTGTAAGGAAGCAGTAGCTCTTTGTGGAAGACTGATTTCCATTTTGAATGTTTTGAATATGAATTCTTTTCATTTGGTTCAACAATTTGATTAACCAACCTTGATTAATTTCAAGGTTGTGCAGAGTGCTGTGACGGGGACTTTAAGAGATGCAAAGATAAACGAGACTCCTCCTGGACCTCTGGGAGCTCCCAGTTGTCTTCCATCATTTACAGATCAATTCACAAACCCAGAGAACCTAGTCAACAAAGAAGACCTTCAGAGGGACAGACATGGATCTAATCTGCAAAGGAAGTAGAAGAAAATAAGGCCTCCTGAGCAAATTGGGAGCTTTGGGATCATGGGAGACAGTAGAGTGGGGCTGGGGGAGGAAGGACCAGGAGTAGAGAAAAACATATAGCGCAATAAAAACAATAAAATATTTTTTAAAAGGCGAGGTTTATCTTTCATTGGTGGTGCTTGTTGTTTAAGTGGTCAGTACTCCCAGATTAACCTTGCTAGCCTCATAATTTCCCTTGATAAAAGTAAAATGACAAGCTCAAGGTACTTTAAGTGGAATGCCTTGTGCTATGTGAAGATGCTCAGACTACTCTGGTATGGGAGTGGGAAGTGCACTGGATCCCTGTTGTGTCTGCACTTTCTCTTCACTTCTAAGTACCACCTTCTACTTGAAGGACCCCCTGAAGTGTGTCTGACTCAGAAAGAGATAAAGAAAGCAGGATTTTGAGCTGGTGGTTGTTTTCTTGCTCCTCATACATTTCATCAGAAATCACCTCAGCTAATGCTGATTTTTTTTTAAAAAAGGAATCTTTCCATTTGATGTCTATAATAAAACCTTAAAAATTAGTGATCTTAAAAATCAGTGACCACCCTACTCTGAGAATACACATCAGACAAACTGCATAACAGAAAATGAAAGGGAGGTTTTTCTAGAAAGCTGTTCTCCTAGTTCTTTGTATGATTCCGGATGGAGGGAACCTGGTGTGGGAGTGTGGAGGGAGGGGGATGTCACAAAAACTCAGAGCAAGAAATGTGGCTTAGATAGATCCACCACAGCATTAACTAACTGGCCTGTTTCTGTTTTGCCAAATGTATTGCTAAGAACAAGTGTGTAGTGAATGCAGAAGAAAGAATTAAAATACATATTCCAATATTAAAACAGAACAAAAAATGTGGGAAAGGTATCATCTCAGTGTGCGAATGTAGAAAAGCTCCAAGGGCATTTCCTATGATCACCTCTGCTTGCTTCTAAAGGGTGTGGTTTCATGCCTCACCTGGCAATAAGCCATTCAGGCAGTCAGCCTTGGAGAGTGAGGAAAGAGCGGCTGAATCAAATAAGACAAGACAATCTACCAAACATTTTCCTATTAAACGTGGGAGATCAGTTTTGAAGCTGTATTAGAAACCAAACAATTGCCAACAGACCGTCTGCCTGTCACCTCCTCCAGAACAATCAGCTTGGGCTTTCAGAGTCACTGGGATTTCCTAGGTAACAGGAGTGTAAACTTGAGAAAAAAGCAGGCCCAGCATAGGAATGACAGTGAGCTGAGCTAACCAGATCCTGAGTCTGTTGCAGCGTTTTTTCAGGCCATCCAATTAGCAATGAAAGTTTTGAAGGGGAGGGACACCTTTGGAAGACAGGTAAGAGGGAGGAGACACAGGGCCATAAGAGAATACTAGAGTCCCCAGGTGCAGAAAGAAGTCCGTGTCCATAGTTGCAGCTTGAAGCAGCCTGTTGCTACAGATTAGCATTCCAGGTAACTTAATGTTCTTATTTATTCTATTAACTCTGTCACTTCTGCTTCATTTTTAACTATGAGGCTCTATTATCTAAAGAAAACAAATTAGCCTTGATGAGAAATCATAATCATGTCCCAAAGAAGTCATCCCTAGCCTGTCAGTGCACAGCGCTTGGCCCCTGGGGTAGTCTCTTGGAAGAGATTATTAGAGAAAATTCAGCTTCACTTAGCAAAGGCAAAGGAGACAACCCTTTCTGAGTGGCGTCTGTGTGCTGGGTTCTTGGATGAGGAGTGTTTTGATGATTTGCTAAGGACCCTGGTGCCCCTGATGAAACTAAGCCAAAGAGAATTCTATTTCCAAACCATAAATCAATCAACAAATATATTCCAGTATTTTTGTGAGGTAAGTTTGTTCTGACTATGCCATACCCCATGACTGTTGATAGATTCAGAATTAAAATTAGGGATTTAACTTTTTTTTTGGTTGTTTGAGAATTTTGTACACAGAGCATTGTATAAACATAACATCCCTCCATCTTAAATTAATGGCCTCTACTTTATCATTGTTGCATATAAATGCATCTTTCTTTCTCTCTTCCTTCATTTCTTTCTCTATCTTTTGAACACACACACACTCACTAATTAAACCCATTTAATGATGCCAGTAAGTACTTGTGTTTAGGGTTGACCGCCTTGTATGGATAACCTATCAGGGGACTTTTCCCTGGGGTGGGGGGGAAGGATTTCCTCTTCTTCATCAGTCATTGTTTGCTTGTTGCTCTTTTTCTTACTCTTTTTATTTAAATACTTTCTAAATATTATAATTTAATTGTGTCATTCCTCCTTTTCTTTCACTACTCCAACCTCCCTATACACCCCTTTTGCCCTATTAAAATTAGTGATGTGTTTTTAATGGAATAATATATGTATATTTTGTTTATGAACACTAATAATATTTTGGTAGCACTGAGTATGTTAT